TTTCAGGATCCACCCAGCCCTACTGGGTCAGAAAGTATAGTTCAGAGAACTGTTAGGTTAAATTTTGAGAAGCACAGCTCTAGGCCAGGGGTGTTTAGCCTTGGCTATGCTAGAATCTACTGGAGATATTAGGCAATGTAAGATTCCCAGGCTCCACTTGGGACAACTTAGATCAGTCACTGGCTCAGGAAGGCGGTTTTGGTTTTATACTGAGTGACCTAATTTATGGTTTGCATAGATCCCTCTGCTACAGAGGATAATCTTTGAGTGTGTGTGGAAGGCGGGCAGGGCCAGGAATGAAAGCATGGAGACCAGAGAGACTTTCTATATGTGCTCTATTAGGCAGAGCAAAACTGCATCAGTTTTCTTTTTTTCTTTCTTTTATTTTTTTTATTTTTTTATTTTTTCCTTGAGACAGAGTCTCACTCTGTTGCCCAGGCTGGAGTGTGGTGGCATGATCTCAGCTCACTGCAACCTCCACCTCCTGGGCCCAAGTGATTCTCTTGCCTCAGCCTCCAAAGTAGCTGGGATTACAGGCATGTGCCACCATGCCTGGCTAATTTTTGTTTTTTTAGTATAGACAGGGTTTTACCATGTTGGCCAGACTGGTCTTGTATTTTTAGTAGAGATGGGGTTTTACCATGTTGGCCAGGCTGGTCTTGAACATCTGACCTCAGGTGATCCACCCACCTTGGCCTCCCAAAGTGCTGGGATTACAGGTGTGAGTCGCCATGCTTGGCTAGTGTTTCCTTTACTCATACTTTCAGAATTTCCTTTGAGGCAGAAAAAATATTCCAATTTCATCTCACAGCTACCACAAAGATCTTCCTTTCTCAATATATTTTGGAAAGCCTTAATGAAAGATGTATCCTCTGAGCCATTCTGAGGAACTTAGCCACTATCTGAACAGGTACTTATTCACTTCAGCTTATCAGTCTCCCTCAGGCTTTGGTCCCTTTATTAGTATACCAGGAAGGTAAGAAATATCAAATTTAGTGAAAGCACATTTAATGTGAAGTACCTTCAACTTCAAGGTTTCAGTAACCAACCAACCACTTTTAGAACTATTCCCAGCCCCTTGAGCTAACACACTGATTCCAAAATCTCAGTTTAGTGCAACGAAGTCCACTATTCCAGTGAATCCAAAATTATGTTTCTTTTTCCTTGATTCAATGCATCTAAGGATCCATTCCCATACATATTATTGGGGTTCTGTCAATATAAATGGACAAAATATTGCAATGCCTTTGGTATGTATTGGCCCTCTTATGAGTCATCCTTTATAGGTTACCTCCTGGGGTCTGCTGGGACTTGGGCCTAGGTACAGGTCTAGAAGTAATACTAGAGTTGGGAGTACCTCCTGCAGATGATCAGTTGTCCCACGCAGGGAAACTACTTCAAGGAAGACATTACAGGTTCTTCAGGCCGGGTAAGACTACTCTCCTTAGACAGGGGTGGAAGGGCTTCTTCTATTGACTCAGGAGAGGCTTAGTAGAGTTTAAGGGTTTAAGGTCACCAGCTTCATTGGAATCTGCTCACAAATTTCCATCCTGACTTTTGTGCACTATTCTTTCTCAATCCATATCCAATCTTAAAATAAGAGACTCTGAGAAGTTAAGTATTTAATTTGTGTTGTAATTCAGCCACCCACAGCATTAAATTTCATGTTTGTTTTTCAATCATCTTGGCCCTACAGGATATCCTTATCTTGTAGGGAAGCCATAAATCCTTAAGTTTATCCTTTTCTTTCCTTACATTCTCTAGTGTACTTAGGAGTAACCATTCAATACCATACTACGTTATTTTCACTGAAGTCTTTATTAGTTGCAATTAGTTCACCCACATTCCCACCATTTATAGACACTTGATTCCAAGATATGTACAGGTTATCATTCAAGCAACTCTTTTGCATACCATTGTGAAAGGAAAAGAAAATCTCAGGACCCCAAACTCATGATGTTGAAAAGAATAGTTAGGGAACTGAGTCCTGCAGAAACAACAAAAAAAACCCCAAATGGAAACAAAAAACAATTGCCTTCCATTTGTTCCCAAACAGCCATAATTTCATATGCTTACATTATCTTTGTTGTTGTTGTTTTTGTTTTGTGTTTGAAACAGTGTCTCACTCTGCTGCCCAGGCTAAAGTGGAGTGGTGCGATTTCAGCTCACTGCAGCCTCTGCCTCCCAGCGTCAAGCAATTCTTCCACCTCAGCTTCCTGAGTAGCTTGGACCACAGGTGTACACCACCACACCTGGCTAATTTTTGTGATTTTTCTGTAGAGATGGGATTTTACTGTATTGCCTTGGCTGTTCTCAAATTCCTAGGCTCAAGTGACCTGCCCACCTTGGCCTCCCAAAGTGCTGGGATTACAGGCATGAGACACTAAAGCCAGCCATGCTTGCATTAGCTTATGTGAAATGTAGATATACTGAGAAGGATATGAATGCATAATTGACTTTCCCCTCACTCCTCTGTTTTCATATATGAAATGTGGATTCAGGAAGCATTAGTCAAAGCCTCACAAGAATGTAAACATTTGTCTCATTTTTTGCCTACTTTCTTTCTTTTTTTTTTTCTTTTCCTCCTTCCCCTCTTGCCCACTTCTCCCTCTTTAAATATTTAAGTCCTCAAAACCCTCTTTGGAAAAAACACAGGTCACAGGTCCTACTGTAACTTGTATTTCTTTTTTTTTTTTTTTTTT